AGAGAGAGAGAGAGAGAGAGAGAGAGAGAGAGAGAGAGAGAGAGAGAAATGAATGAACCAGCATGACTTCAGTGAACATGGCACAAATCCAAGAATATAATATGAGCTACAGAGAATACACGGAAACATTCTATCTCCACCCCAACAATGTTGAGTTTAGAATATGCAAAGCAAGGGCTGGGGAGGTCACTCCACAGTCTAAGCTCCTGCCTAGCAAGATCCAGAATCCAGGTGCGATCTCTGGTACCACATGTTGTACCAACCCCGGAAGCCTGGGTACACTGTGCTGGCCCTGGAACCAGGTGGGGTGGCACGAACTTGTAATCCCAGTGCTGGGGAGGCTGAGACAGGAGGATCACTGTGTGTCAGAACTGCATAGCAAGGCCCTGTACCAAGTAAATAAAAATAAATAAACAAAAATTGAAAAATAGAAAAAGAATATAGAAAGCCAAACCACTTTGTTTCCTCTCTACCAATGAAAAAGATCATTAAAATCTATAAAATTTTAATTTTCTAGAGGCTATTAGGGAACAACAATTGTAAGACAGTTAAGTAAACACAATTCCAGAATGTGAAAAACAGTAACAAGACATACAGAATACTTGCATTTGACGGCACACAAGGGAAAGAGCAGATTGTTGAAAGAGCAAAGGAGAACACAGTAACTGGGAGCCCTGCTTCCAGTGGAAGTTGGTTCTCCCAGCAGGCTGGTTTTCAGTGGCTTCCCGCATCAGATAAGAAGAATTCAGTGTTGGTGAGGAAGCCAGGAACACACAGACATAAAATCTTCTCTCTAGGCTGCTCCTTCCTCAGAAGCAAAAGCACTTCAGAGGGCCAGGCGATCATTCTGTGCCCGGGCACCAGGCAGAGGCACACTGTTGCCAAAAGAGAGGGGAAAACTAGAGCCCGTTGGCTCCCCTCCAGTTCGGGGTCCTGCGCACATGCGAAACAGCGACTGCTGCCTTCCTACCCTGGGACAGGACTCTCCATTAGCCTGCTTCCTATCACTGCTGTCGCTGTCATAAAATACTCGCGAGAATCAACTTAAGAGGAGGAAAGGTTTATTTGGCTTCTGTTTTCCGAGGCTTCTCTCCACCTTCAGTTGACTCCATTTCCTTTGGTTCCACGGAGAGGCAGGATGTCATCCTGAGGAGCTTTGAACACAGAAGCAGGCAATCACTTTCTATGACAGTAACAAAACTCCTGACAGAATTATCTTCTAGAGAGAAAGGGCCACTGGCTCGCCACGTTGCAGGTTTCAGCTGTGGTCAGTCGGCCCCGCCGCAGCACCGCGGCAGCTCACCCTGGAAGGAGGGCTTGATGAGCTAACCCAACAAGCCATCGACATCACTATCCAGGGAGCAAAGGAGAGGACAAAAGGGGAAATGGGGTCACGCCACACCCTTGGGTCATGGCGCTAAGGACCCGAAGACCTCCGCAGAGCTCCACCTCCTGAAGTCTGTATCCTTCTCCCCTCACCTCCCTCAGGACCAAGCGCTCAGCCTGCAGGCTCTGGAGTGCCACATGATAGCCAGCCTGCAGCAACACTCCCAAGCTGTCACTGCAGTTCCCACTAGAGAATATTAGAGATATTACGCTAATATTAATATTAGAGATATTACACTAATATTAATATTGAGATATTACGCTACGAATGCATTTGCACCAAGTGGATTCACGATACAGCAGAAAACACACACGGCCGAGTAGGCGTACGTCACCGTACGTCACCATGACAGGCAGTGCGAGATGAGCACCACCAACCACCTCTCCGCCCGTGCAAAGTCGAACACAGCCAAGCAAAACAAGGAAGAAATAAAAATGCAACTAATAAGCTAGGTCCCACTGGCGAATGTCTAACCACAGTGCATCCCCACAACAGCAAAACTATTTGATTTAGGACAGCAATGTGCCTGGCTAAATTACTCTATTCTCAGACTTCTTGAATCTCCACAAGCCTACATTCCAAGGAAGCAGAAGTGCTGAGCGAAATTTCTAGGAACTTTCTTTAAAGAGAAAGAAGTTAATCCCTTCTTCTTCCTTATCTAGAAAAAAAAATTGAGTATGATGGTTAAAGCTTTGACCAAGACCACAAAGATGGGACATGAGAAAAGAAACTGAAAGATCTGCGGGCATGGAGATCTCTAGCACGATCATGAAACGACGAGACTATGAAACTACCGCACCAGCCCCAGGCTGCTGAACTCTAGTTTTTCTTCTGGGGAGAAAAGAAGACTGTATTTCTGCTAATGTGGTCAGATTTCCACTTTTTTATGTACCTGCAACTAACCCTAATAGATATAATCTGGAAAGCAAAGCATGCAGAAACAAAGCCTAGGAGCGCAGAGGGCGGGAGTGGCCCAGCGCAGGAGAAGGCCCCCTCTCCTCTGGGCCCAGCGAGACCCCTGCATGTTTCAAAATGACGTTAGAAGGAGGATAGGAAGCTGAGGTGAACCGCCCAGATCTTCGATTTCTTTTGGTTTGGTTTTGTTGAAAATATTATTTTTGGTTGTGCCATGTAGAAGGGAAAACTGAAGTGATGGTGTCCAGAGGCTCCTCAGCGAGAATCTGGAGGTGGAGACGCACAGCAGGAGACGCTGAGTCCCTCAGCGTGGCGTTGGGGAACAGGAGGCGGGTGGTTTGGGCTATTTGCTGTTTCCTTGGATACTTTGTATTCTGCAGAACACATTGTTGTGCATGAGAACTTAAATATTAGAAAAGCAAAGAAAATTCACAACCGAAGGTTAAAGTGAAATTAAATTAAGCAAAAAATTGAATCAAAAGACCCTATTTTAGGCCTCCTACCGATTTTTACAAAACAGCAACTTCGTACTAGTAAACATTTTTCCAGCTCAACAGGAAACGAAGCAGCTAAACTCTTGAGCCTGTAACTGTTAGCAGTGACAGAGGTAAAGGAGCTAACAGTCCCTGTCGCCGGCCACACCTGCTGTGAGAGCCCAAAGCTCTGCCCAAGAAGCAGTGCTGCACGGAGTAGCACAAGCACTTAGTTCCCAGCTCATAGAACAGCAAAAACGATGCCTTAGACGGGTGATCTAGAATCAAGATTCCTTCTTCTACTGCACTCTCCCACGTAACACAGAAATCTTGTCTACAAAATTATCATGGCATCATCTGTTGCCCTAGTCAAATGCTTAGAGTAATAGGAAGTTAATTCCCTGGACATTATAGTTTTCCAGGGAGGCTGGGATTCAATTTGAAATAGGTTGTGTCTTTCAACTGGC